AAGATGGTGGCCACTGGTCCCATCACCTCCTGGCAAATAGAAGGGGAAGATAAGGAGGTAGTGACAGATTTTACCTTCTTGGGCTCCATGATCACTGCAGATGGTGACAGCAGCCATGAAATTAAAGGACACCTGCTTCTTGGGAGGAAAGTGGTGACAAACCTAGACAACATCTTAAAAAGCAGAGACATCAACTTGCCGACAAAGGTCCGCATAGTCAAAGCTATGGTTTTTCGAGTAGTGATGTATGGAAGTGAGAGCTGGACCATAAAGAAGGCTGACTGCCGAAGAATTTATGCTTTTGAATTGTGATGCTGGAGGAGACTCTCAAGAGAGTCACCTGGACTGCAAGGAGAACACACCTATCCGTTCTGAAGGAAATCAACCCTGAGTGCTCACTGGAAGGACAGATCCTGAAGCTGAGGCTCCAATACTTTGGCCATCTCATGAGAAGAGAAGACTCCCTGGAAAAGATCCTGATGCTGGGAAAGTGTGAAGGCAAGAGGAGAAGGGGACGACAGAGGTGTGAGGGTTCAACTTTTGGCTCCTTTCTTCATTCAAATAAATCAGGAGATTTATTTAATTTTGAAACAGGGGTGAGGTTTCTCTCCTGCCAACAACAGGTCAGTCAGGGGCTTCCCTCCTTCAACTAGGAATGGGTTCCCTTCACCCGGGTTCCACGGGCCCATCCAGTCCACTGACGCATTAGGGTTCATCGTCTGTCCTGCCTCTCCATCCAGCAGGGGAACAGTGTCATCGTCCTGACTGTCCATCCACCGGGCATGTCCGATTGATGTTGGGGTCGCCCAGGGTCCTCCCTGTGTCCCTTCGTCCTCATCTCGCTCACCCTCCATTCTATTCTCTCTCCCCTTTCTCTTTCCACTCTCTCCTTTTCCTCTCATAGCTTTCTCTGTCACTCCCTGGCTTCAGCTTCTCTCCAATAAGAGGGTCTCAGGGGAATCTCTCCTCTGTCTGTAATCAGCCTCTTCCTTCAGGACTCATAATCTTTCCCATGCGTCAGTCCAGGGGTCCTCCATCCAGACCCATTCCCAACCTGGCGGCACCTCTTCCTCCTTTGTCTTTATATCTGCTGCCTCCACCTCTATCTCCGCCCTTTTTCTCCACTCTACTCCTGCTGTTTTCCCCTCAGTTCCTTCGACAGTTAACTTCTGTATTTCTCCCTCCATTTCCTGCATATCTGTCCCTTGCTGCTCCATTCTGTCAGAAGATGAGGTGGGCAAGGTCTGTACCTCTTTCTCGACTGTGAGGGGAAGGGATGGCACTTTGGCGAGAGAGCTACCACTCTCGCCCCCTGTCTCTCAGTCCAGGGGTCCTCTTGGACAGTGTCACCTAAGCGACCAACATGAATTTGACCAAACTCTGGGAGGCAGTGGAAGATAGGAGGGCCTAGCGTGCTCTGGTCCATGAGGTCACAAAGAGTTGGACACGACTAAACGACTAAACAACAACAAATTTGCTTGACCCTTTTAAACATTTCTATACTTACAGTTTTTAGTTTTAAAATATTTTCTTTTAATGATGTAAGCCACCTTGGGTCCTTTTTAAGGAGAAAAACGGGGTAAAAATTTTTGAAAGAAAGAATGAAAGAAAGAAAGCTGTCCAGCTTTCACACATTGTTACACTTGATTATCTGTTCTACTGTAGTTCCTCCACTTCTGCCCTTCCAAATCTCATTCTTCTTCTGATTTCTTGGCTGCAGTCTCCCTTTGGATTGATGATTGAACCAAGGTATAAAAAAAATCTCTATTTCGTTAAAGTTGTATAGTTCATCAGTAGTCACGATTTTGGTCTTCTTAATGTTCAACTGCATTCCTGCTTTGGCATTTTCCTCTTTCACTTTCACTAAATCATTTCAAGTCATTGTTGCTTTTTTCTATTGAAGGTTTGAGGTGCTTGGTGTGGTTGTGACTGGGTTCTGGAAGGAAGCCATGTGCTGGCTGTGTTAGTTGTTGCAGAGCAGGTGGGAAAACCTTGACTGGACAGGAGTGCTTTTTGATCATCAGCCAAAACCATGAAAATGAGAATCAAGGTTTTGTTCTGTGTGTAGTTAATGAATACATGCTTAAAAAACAAGCAGTTGATAACTAGAGTTAGTTTTGTAAGAACATATGTGTTATGTAAGGGACGTGGTGGCACTGCGGGCTAAACCGCAGAAGCCTATACTGTAGGGTCAGAAGACCAAGCAGTCGTAAGATCGAATCCACGCGACGGAGTGAGCGCCCGTCGCTTGTCCCAGCTCCCGCCAACCTAGCGGTTCAAAAGCATGCAAATGCAAGTAGATAAATAGGGACCACTTCGGTGGGAAGGTAACAGCATGCCGTGTCTAAGTCGCACTGGTCATATGACCACGGAAGATTGTCTTCGGACAAACGCTGGCTCTATGGCTTGGAAACGGGGATGAGCACCACCCCCTAGAGTCGAATACGACTGGACCTTTACCTATGTGTTATGCACACCTTTGTTGTTGTTAAATGCCATTAAGTTGGAACCCACTTATAGTGAGTATAGTGACCCTAATAGGGCTTTCAAGGTAAGAGATGTTTAAAGAATGGTTTTACCAGTTCTGCTCCCCCAGGAATTTTCCATGGCTGAGCGAGGATTCAAACTCTGGTTTGTCACTCTGTCCACTACTACCCCATACTGAGAATCCTGTGCTCATGCAGATTGATATAGATATTATATTTCTCTGGTTTTTTAAGGCTCTTTTCAGTATTATCTCATTAAAGCAATGGGGTTTCTTTGCTTGCACTTGGCAGAAAGGAAAATAAGCATTACTTTGAGTTTTGTTTTTATTAAAAAGTTGATTCATTTTCAGGTATTTTCTAGTAGATAATCCTGGTACCCAGTTGCAGCAAAAAACATCCTGTGGCACCTTAAAAAATGGTAAGTTTTGTTTAGGATAAGCTTTCTTGGCCTGTAGCCCCGATCTTCAGATTCAAACAGTTAATGACCTGAAGAAGTGGGCTACCAGCGATCAAAGCTTATGCCAACTAAAATTAGAAAGTAATTGAAGTGGTAGCCATGTTAGTCTGTGCAAGCATATCAAACAGGAAACAAAACAAAAATTTAAAAAAGAAAACAAGAACTTTGTGGCACCTTAATATAGCACTTCTGGACCGCACTGTTATTTCAATGAACTAATTACATATATGCTCCCCAAACATATATGTGAACTAATAAGTATACCAACCTATATGGGAGTTTTGAATCTGGAGAACAGACAGATTGATCCCAGTAATACACACCCTTTTAAAGGAGTTTCTTTGAACAATAGGAATTAAATATCTTTGGGAATAGAAAAACATTATGATGTAGCTTTATAAATGATAAGCAATAAAGAATAAAACAAATCACTAAATGAATGAAATGCAGTTGCTTTAAAATAGGGAAGAAAATGGAAAGGAACTGCGACAGCAAAGCCTGAAAGGCTTCTGAGGCCAAGGTTTAACATTAGAAGACCTGGATTGGCTGCCGGGGGCTGGATTTAGATTCCAGGATATGGTGTATTTGGGGGAGAGATTGAGTAAATGTCAGGGGCGTGGTTGCAGGCAAAGTAACAGGTTCCAGAAAAAAAAAAGTGGAAAAGAAGAGATTATGCAGATTACTTCCTTCTCCATAGGGTAGCCTGGAATTGAGGAAGTTTCTAGCCTGAAAGGATTTGTTTATCTTTTGGTTGGAAACTTTGCCACCAGCAGATTATTTGGGGTTACTATATAGTCCCCTGCCTTTTTCAGCAGGTACTTCCTCAGTGATTTGACCAAAGAGCTTTAAGAGTCCAGTCATATATTGGCGTTCATTACATCTGCTCTAACAGAGTGAACTGTCGATCTTGCTTTTTCCGGCTTTATGCTATCTTTTTTTTCCTAGAGGTTATTGATTTTGGAATGTTTCGCGCCTTTCAAACTCCGGAAGGGTCAGAACATTTCATAAAGGTTAGAAGTACAAAAAGGGCAAAACTTGCAATTAAAAAGATATGATACGAAGCCCATTTAGGGATTAAGGCTGCCATCCGGTACCAGCTGACAGGGGAGGGCCCCCCACTGAACTCTAGGGCTTCTGAATACTGTATACTATTGTAGGCGAAACAACAACGAGGGACATAAAGCCAAGGATCAGTTCAAAAAAATATGCGGCCACAGCAAGGAGCTGAACGGTGGTGCAATCCTCTACTTATTTATTCCAAAGGCAGCCCTGTTAAGTTCAGTAAGACTTAGAGGAAAGCAAATGTATGCAGTTCCAACCTAAAAGAGATTGTCAAGGCAGGGAAGAAAACACGTACAGTAGTTTCCCACCAAACTCCAAAGGAACCGGGCTGGAGCGAAGGGGGAATCGAGCTTCCCTCAGTGTCACCAATTAATGAACAAGCTGCCATTGCAGGGAGGGCTTCACGAACTGGGGGATCGGCTTCGAGCCAGGGGTCAGCAAAGTGTTCGAGGTGCTCGGGACGCGGAGGGATTGGGTCTGGGAGAAGGAAGCCACTTTCTGGCTGCGTTAGTAGCTGCGAGTGGAGGGGAGCGCTCGAAAAGTTTCGCTCATGAGCCAAAACCTAACCACAAAAATGAGAACCAGCCTCTTGTTGCGTATACTTAAGGATCGCATGTTTACAAAGCACCATACATTACATTAAACAACCAAGGACACATATTTAAAAAAAAAAAAACAAGTAAGTTTCAAAGTCACCCACCAGTGGGAAAGTTATTTCAACTTTAACGTTTTAGATTACAAATGCGGGGGGGGGGAGAGGAGAGAGAGAAACGCTCTTTATGGCCCTGCCCTTTGGCTACGCCTGCCAACCAGCCTTTCTGCCCCCCCCCCACCTCACCCACCATTTTCCTTCAGAAGGCCGAAAGGAGCGGATTCGGGTGAAACCGTCCCCCTCCTCGCCAGGGGCCCCGCCCTTTTCGGAGCCTGGGCCGCTGGCGCCCTTCTGAATGTGACACGTGGGGTTGGGCGTCTCCGCGGTCATATGAATATGCAGCGAAGTGGGCGGGGCAAGCCTGGGTCTTGAGTTGAACGTCATGAATATGCATACCGTACGAGAATCGGCCGCGTCTCCGCCTGGCCCTACCTCGCGGAGCCCGGTAAGGAGCTTTCAAGGCAGGCCCCAGGGGTGTGCGTGCTTGCCTGCCTGCCTGCGTGCACGAAGAGCGGTAGGCACTGCTTCCCAAACGGTGAGGCTGGGATTAGCGCGGAATCCCGGGCTTGCCCGGGAAGAGTGGGCGGGCATCCGATCGGGAGGGGGAAGGGGGTCGAGGGGATAGACGGTTGTGCAAGAAAGAGGAGCAGGGGCCGTGAGGTTATTACCGGCGGATGGTGGGGGTATCTGAAGGCCTCGTGGGAAAGAGAACGAGGGAGGAAAGTACCCCCCCCCCCAGCCCGTTGGTTTGAAAGTGTGCTGGGTGGGTATCTGGAAGATCCCTTGCGCCGGATTGAGTCGCCGCGGTGGCGAAGCCGTGGGGCTTCTGGATGTCCCGGGCTTGTAATAGGCCTGGTCTGGCGCTTCGAGCGTGGAGTTAAGGGGCCGGGGTGACGGATTGGCTCTCGTGGGAAGGCTCGAGTTAGTCCCATATGGTACGCACGTACACCGCTTTGTGCGTTCTCGGTGTGCATCTGGGTTTGTCCTGTGCTCTGATTGTTTGCTGGCCGATGGAATCCGGGCTTAAATCCGGTTGCCTGCCTGCCTGCCTACTTTCTTGTTTCTTCGAACTGGCCTCGGTGTCCCCTTCTTTGTAACATCGCCACTTTATGCGTAACGAATGCTGTTCTCCACCCCCTTCTGGCCGGATTCCTCTAACATTGCCTCCTCCCACCACTCCCTCTCTCGCTGGGCCCTGTTTCCATGCTCGCCAGAATTAGCAGTGCGGTGTTCGCCTCCCTTTAAATCTTGCTAAGATTTAAAGAGAAAGGATTATGGAGAAAGCCAGAGAGTTCCAGCAAAACATCTACTTCTGCTTCATTGACTACGCAAGAGCCTTTGACTGTGTGGACCACAACAAACTATGGCGAATTCTTAAAGAAATGGGAGTCCCTGACCACCTTATCTCCTGAGAAATCTATATGTGGCACAAGAAGCAACAGTTAGAACTGGATATGGAGTAACTGATTGGTTCAAAATTGGGAAAGGAGTACGAAAAGACTGTATATTGTCTCCCTGCTTATTTAACTTGTATGCAGAATACATCATGTGAAAGGCTGGACTGGAAAAATCCCAAACCGGAATTAAGATTGCTGGAAGAAATATCAACAGCCTCAGATATGCATGTGATACCACTCTGATGGCAGAAAGTGAGAAGGAATTGTTCGTCTTTCTAGCAGTCCAGAGTATCAGCAAAGTTTTCCAAAAATGATCTGAAGCTCAACATTGAAAAAACTAAGATCATGGCCACTGGTCCCAAAACCTCCTGGGAAATAGAAGGGAGGCTGTGGCAGATTTTACCTTCTTGGGCTCCATGATCACTGCAGATGGTGACAGCAGCCATAAAATTAAAAGATGTCTGCTTCTTGGGAGGAAAGCAATGACAAACCTAGACAGCATCTTAAAAAGCAGAGACATCACTTGCTGACAAAGTCCGCATAATCAAAGCTATGGTTTTTCTAGTAGCAATATATGGAAGTGAGAGCTGGACTATAAAGAAGGTTGACCACCGAAGAATTGATGCTTTTGAATTGTGGTGCTGGAGGAGGCTCTTGAGAGTCCTCTGGATTGCAAGAAGAACAAACCTATCCATTTTGAAGGAAATCAACCTTGAGTGCTCACTGGAAGGACAGATCCTGAAGCTGAGGCTCGAATACTTTGGCCATCTCGTGAGAAGAGAAGACTCCCTGGAAAAGACCCTGATGTTAGGAAAGTGTGACGGCAAGAGGAGAAGGCAATGACAGAGGACAAGATGGTTGGACAATGTCATCGAAGCTACCAACATGACTTTGACCAAACCCCAGGAGGCGGGGGAAGACAGGAGGGCCTGGCGGGCTCTGGTCCATGGGGTCACGAAGAGTCAGACACAACTTACCAACTAAACAACAGCAACAAAAAACACAGGTTACTACAGATGTGGTCAGTGCCCCTGAAACCCTTCTGTTGACACATCCTTTCACCCACACTCTTCGGTGCCAAGACAAAATAGTGTCTCTTATATGATGGCCATTTGTTTCTTTTCACAGTCGTGCCATTTTGCTTGTGGGAATGTGGTCTGTGTTGGACTGCAGTATGTTTTCTTTAAAGCAAAAGTTGTGTCTTTTAAGTGAGGGGCTGGTGTTGCTTTTTTTTTTAATGAAGGTCCTTCCTTGCTAGGAAAACACACCTCTTTTGAGGTTCTGGTGTCATGTGTCAGCATTCTCCTTTTCGTATTCTCCTTTTCTTGAAATTATATTCCCCTGAAATTCTTCAGTATGTTTTCTTTAAAGCAAAAGTTGTGTCTTTTAAGTGAGGGGCTGGTGTTGCTTTTTTTTTAATGAAGGTCCTTCCTTGCTAGGAAAACACACCTCTTTTGAGGTTCTGGTGTCATGTGTCAGCATTCTCCTTTTCGTATTTTCCTTTTCTTGAAATTATATTTCCCTGAAATTCTTTACCTAATTCAAGAATTTCGCTCCATAAGATGCACAGACTTTCCACCCCCCTGTTTTGTGGGAAAAAAGTGAGTCTTATGGTGCAAAAAATACAGTAATTCAAGAACTTTTACTGAATAGTCTACCTTGACTGCCTTCTTTTCAAAATTCTATAATGACCTCTTTCCGATCCTGCTCTTGTCTCCAGTTTGGGATTTCTTTTCTGAGCCTATTGCTTGAAGATCGTTTACAGATATGGATGCGGATCAATCTGCCTGTAGGATAAGATCCACATGTTTTGTAACAGGCCAATGTTGTATCACTTGAAATATGATTGTTGTTGCAAATTTCTCTGTGTTTGTCTGTCCATATTGCTTCTTCTCTTTAAGGTGTCTCCACCCTTTTCTTTTCCTCTTCCCGGAAGGGGTTTTAAATGCATTACTTGTTTATTATAATGATATATAGATGAGTGTGTGGGCATGTAGTCTTGTTTGTACATGAACACTGCAGATATACAGGGGAGATTTTGGCTGCTGAAAGCATTTCCCTGTTTGAATAAACAGCATAGCATTGAAAATAATGGTCCACATATAGCAGAAGTTTTGCCTAGACATCTGTAGTAGCTCGGACATTGTCACCTTTGGAGTTCCTTGCAGTATACTGTGGTATGTTTATGCTATCTTTCTACCTTCCTTGTTCTTTAGATCACTGCTTCCCACTCCATTTGAACTGTAGCCTTGTAAATATGACCTTTTAGCTTTAGATGATAAAGTTATTGAAGCAGTGGCCGGACTCAGCCCTTGTGCAAGGTGTACTTGCCATGCAATAGAGCACCTTCTTTTAAAAAGATTGTTGTGTTGCAGAAAACATCATATCTGCCCTTCCTCTCATGGTAGGGTTTCTGCTGCTTCTGAGGGAATTCTGCAGCTCTTTCTGGGTCACAAGTTCCATGCCACACTGGTTGCTGATATGCTGTGTAAGGCAGAAGAAGTCAGTTTCATCTACATTTTGCTTAAAAGGTTTGAGACTTTTACTCAGACTGACTTGTTGAAGTGAGAGCCTTTGTCAATTTTTTTGTCTTCCATTCCATGTCACAAGTGGGGTACTTGTGCTAGAGGCATTTTACATGCCACCTTTACTTAAAAGGGAGTTTCAAAAGCTTCACTCCCATCATCTCTGCAGTCTTGCTTCCATTTCAAGGCAATCTGTGTGACATTTTAAAAGGTAGTTTTCCCTTAGTACTTCTCTCTCCCCCCCCCACCCCCAGCAATTGTCCCTGCAACAGTTTCAAATCCAGGAGCACCATAACAGAGACGTGAAGGGATATGGGTGCTTGCCTTGGAGGGAGGATTATATACAGTGGTGCCCCACTAGATGATTACCTCGCAAAATGACAAATTCGCATGATGATGAGTTTTTCTGATTGCTATTGCAAAACAGTGTTTCCTATGGGCGATTTTCGCTATACGATGTTTTGGTCCGTGCTTCCCAAGATTTTTTTTTCCGGGACCGATTTTCACAAGACAACAATTTTAACAGCAGATCGGCTCTTAGCAAAACAGGTGTTTTGGGGACCGATGCTTCGCAAGACAGCGATTTTAACAGCTGATCAGCACTTCGCAAAATGGCTTCCCTATGGGCGATTTTCGCAAAACGACGACGATTTGTCCCCATTGGAACTCATTAAACAGATTTCAATGCATTTCAATGGGGATATCGCATTTTGCAAGACGATGTTTTCACAAAACAGCGATTTCAATGGAATGGATTAACATTGTCTTGCGGGGCACCATTGTAGTACACGCCACATTTCTGAACCAAATGAGGCAATAATGCTGCTTCAGTCCAGACTTGAAAGGATTATGCTACACTTGCAGTGGGAGCTTTAAAAACTGTTCCAAATCAGCATGGTTTTGGTTTAAAAAAAAAATCTAGTATGACACTAAGTGATGGTAGTGAACAATAGGAACACAACACCTTGGGAGGGTTGTTCTCTGGATTCTCAAGAACAAATGTTTAAGCAACATATAACTTACTAGAGAGATTAACATGGAATTGCCTTGTTATATTGTGTGTTGCATTAGTGGTGCATTGTTCAGGAACAGTGACTCAGCCACCCAGATGTTGCTGGATTAGATCACCCATCACTCCTGCCTTTTGGCCCTGTTGTCTGGTGCTCTTGAGAGTTGAAATCCAGAACATCTGAAGGGACAAAGCTTTGTAGGAACAGAAGAAGATTATTTCAAGTTTGTTCTGTACTTATAGACAGCATTTCCGATATACGTTGAGAGGGGTAATTATGAGTCATAGAGTAGGCAAAGGCCTAAAAAATGTATTGCCTTCTCTAGCATTCCCTCTACTTGTGAACCTCTGCTGAATGTCTTGGAGATGCAAATACTTCACAATATGAGCCTCTGAAGAAATTGGAACAATACCCTTTGGACATTTTCAGCTCTACTTTTTTTCCTTGGCTTTTGCATTTTATGCTTTCTCTGTGCACCTTTGGTGTCTGGGGTTTCTTCCTCTCATATCTTGCCACACACTTTTTCCACCACCACCCCTTCAATCAGATCCCTATTACAGTTTGGGTGGATGGCTTTCTGTAATCTTCTGACTTGAAACTCTCTGGATTCCATTGGAAGTAGATCTTGCTGTGAGTCTCTTTGCACAAATCAAGAAATCTTTCTTGAGGAACCAATGACAGAGAGGTAAATTTATATTCAGAGTATCTTACCTCAGCTCAGATAACTGCTCAGCTGTTAAACCATTGGGTAACCTTGGCTGAGTTGCTGTTTCTTGGCTTCAGTTCTGTGTAGTGTGAAATAATATACTACTTTATAAGGATGTAAGGGAACAAGGTGAGCATGACAGGTAACTATTCTGCTGTAGACACTCCTTCGTGCACTGAACCTGTCTGTTTTCTCAAGCTTCAACTGCTTCATTTTACATCTTTCAGAGGTTATTTTCCTCATATCTCTGTTTCATCATTTGTACCCCAAGGCTCACTTGGGGAAAATATGATGTGCTTCCTTGTATCTAATAGAGTGTTTCTGTGTGTTTATTTTTTCCTTGAAACAATCATACATTTTCTTTGTAGTATGTTGCTATTTAACATGAGGTGGGATGAATATACTTTCCCATCAGGAGCAACATGACTTTGTAGAAAAGGCCAGCTATTGAGTACATTGAGCCTGGTCTTGCATTTATCCAAGAAGGGAGCAGAGAGAGCAATCATAAAAGGAATGCAAGTTTGTTTTATGGACGGATATGAGGACCCAAGGGGGGAGGGTGACTTTGCTAAGTGGTAAAGCACACCCCAGAAGGTCCCAAATTTAATCCCCAATATTTCCAGGTAGGGATTAAAACTTTTTGTCTGAAATCCTGGAGAGCCACTGCTTGTTGGACTCAATAGTAGCATGCAAAATGGATCAAGGATCTGTCTCTGTGTATTACAGGTTTCTGTACCCTTAGCTGTGAAAAAATGTTTCCCTTGGGGAACTTTTACAACATGTGGTAAATCTTATCAGCTTCAACACGTAAGTTACTCTGTGATGCAGAGTTTCTTTATATGTGGAGTCTGAATATTTTTTTAGCTACAGGACAGTTCTTGTCATATTTTTTTCCTCTCACATTTTACTAAAGTGAAATACAGTATGTGTGTTTATTTCTCCTTTTGTTTTTTAGTTGCTTCCTTTTTTGGAGAGGGGATATATATTTTCCATCCAAAGCTTACTTCATGCTTGAATGTTTTTACATGAATATTATGAATATGTTTGCCAACATAGCAATATAACATGTACTATACAGTATAATGAATGTATGTTGTTTCCTTGCATGCTTCCATGGCAAAATCAACATGCATCAGTTTTCCCATATGGGACTAATACTTGCTTGTGCTCAGCTATCCTAACTGCTTGATGAAAGCAAGCTTCGTGTGTTTCCTTATGTTTGGTACGCTAGTTGAATAGATACTGTACATCTAATACAAGGATCTCCTCTGCTCAGATGGCTAATACGCTGCCATTTATTTATTTTTGTCTTTGTCAGTTATTCTGGCTTCCTTGGCTTTCTTCCTTCCCATCTTCCTGCTACATGAAATGCCTTCCTCCCTTCTGTAACAGGGCTACCAGATCCTATGTTCCAATCTCCAGTAAGAACATAAGTTCTTACTGGAGATTATCTGAACAGTATAGCAGACAAAAGGTATTGAATCAATGATATCTATAAAACCGATGGCAGGTGTGTGTGTTTGTGTATGTATGTATATATTTATACTGCGTCATATCTTGAACAGCCAGGGTATGATATTACAAAAAAACAACGAAATAAGCAATTAAACAGATTAAAAAACTCCAGATAGACATAACATAGTAATATAAGTGACACAATGTCCTCTGCTAAAATGAAGATAATTAAATTAAAAATGTAACCCCCATACTAACATCCTAACCAACAATGAGGAGCGATAGGTAGATTGTTTCAGGAGAGATGTTCCATTAGATATTGAGGTCGCAAGCCATTTATGTCTTTGTTGGTCAAAACCAGCAACTTCAATTGAGCATGGAAGCAAACAGGGAGCCAGTGCAAACAGAGTAGAACTGGAGAGATATAATAGAATCTACTAGTACCTATAATTTCTCTGGCCACCATATCACGGGCATGCTGAAGCTTCTGTACTATTTGCAGGGGCAGCCCTTAGAGAGCATTACAGAAACTTTTAAAACATTTATTTATTTTTAAGATCATCAAAGCATAAACAACTATTATATGCACTGAGTGGGGTAAATAGGATGATGTCTTAGGGTTGCAAGAAGTTAAGATGAGGAAAGACCAGAATATGAAAACAAGAAGGTAGATGAAGGAAAAAGCAGGAATATCAAGGGAAGGAAGGCAGACATATATGGACGAATAATATTAATTTTATGCTATTGAGTTGTTTCTGACATACTGCAGTGACCCAGAGTTTTCTAGTATACGTTAATCAGAAGTTTACTAACCTCTCTGTTGGTGCTCTGGGGGCATGCATTTTGTCCAAAGCTGCAGAGATAGCAGGGCACATAAAACTCATCACCCCCACACACATTGAGTTAGCTTGGCTAGCTCCTCTCACGAGAGGCTGATGCTCCAAGTCACTGAGCTACAGTAGCTGTTTATGGGCAGATGTTTTAGGCATTGAGAGGTAGGTTGAGAACCAGTGTAGTTTAGTGAATAGCGTGTCAGATTAGGACTCAGGAAACTTGAGCTCAAATCCCTGCTTGACTATAGAAATTCTTTGGGCAGAGGCATGGGTGAAACCAGTCCTTAAATGTTTCACATACTGTACTTTGAAAACCTACTGGGTTTCCATAAGTTGAAATCAATATGATGCACAACACCAGGTTAGGCACAGTGAATAATCATAATAATCAGAAGACCTGGGCCCAAGTATGTCAGTGTACCGGTGCTTTGAATTAGCTTTGCAGAAGTCAGGGGGTAGAATTGTGATACTATTTGGTTTGTAGAAATGAACTACTAAAATTAGGTGGTGGGGGAGTGTGAGCAGCAAGAACAGAGATGTCTAGTCTGCCTTTCCCTACAAAGACACCCTGTTTGGCTTTGAATTTCCCTCATCCTGGCTCATGAGGTGCAGCTGAATAGTTCTGGTTACTTTTACAGTATATATTTCTGTTGTGTATAGAGGCAGACTAAGGAAAGAAGCCATATGCACCCTTGTAGCTGTGCTTTAATTTCAGCTATCTCTTTCATACTCAGGGGGCTTTATTGATTAATGTTCCCCTTGCTTTATTCTGGGGTTGACTTCTGTTTTTGAACATTACCCCTATGATTGCCATTTGAAGCAGTTTGTGAAACACACAGTCTCTGTAACCAAGATGCTGGCTGTTTCTCCTCTTAACCAGGGTTTTGGCCCTCTCTAGAAATCTAGTGGGAGGCCGTTGCCATGGTGACAGGCACAGGCCCCAGCTTTACCTCACTGAATTCCAGTGACAGTGCCAAGCAATTGAGAAATCGAGAGGGGTGGGGGAAGTACTCCAGATGTTTACTCCCTGCATATCCGGGTTGGGAGCATATGCAGCTGGGGCGGATTGAGAGCAGAAACTATCAGGCTGTTTGAAGGGATGAAGAAGGGAGGGAGCAGAAAGGAGAAAGGAGGTTTGGACTGAAAAAGCTATTGTGGGGAAGTTGGTGGGGAATGAACAAAAGGAAGGAGGAAGCAGGAGAGTGTGAAAGGCAAATCTGGCATGAGATGGGAGAGAACAAGTTGTCAGTGAGGGGTAGGGTTTGGCAGAGGTGGAGCAGAGGCAGTCCTGTGCAGGGTAAAGCAAGAGCAAGGCTAGATTCTCATCCACCAGTGTGAGTCATAGCCTGGCTGCTTGTGGGAGACCTACTCTCTTCATCCTTGTTCCAGCTTGCCCTGGGAGTGGCCCACTGTGACCCTGTCTCTGAGTATATGTGTGTGTGTGCGTGTGCGAGAGAGAGTGCGAACACAGGAAGGGCGGGAGAGAGAAAAAGGGCTTTTCACATCCGAGTTAGTAAGGGGATCCAAGGGAAGAAAGCAAGTTGGGGAAACTTGTATTTTGTGGTGTTAACTCTGGCATGCTGATATTGGGTACAAAAATTTGGCTATCTCTTTATTGAATTTGCATATTGCCTCAACTGCTTTTTCTGTATTCTAGGAACTGGCACATATGCTGAGTTCAGAGTCTCTGCCTGGTGATGTGATGGATCCTAAGTCCTACTCGTTTCCCTGTTCTGCTGCCAATGGCCGCAGGGAACCCAAACAGCCATCTAGCAGCCCTGAGAGAGGTATGTCCTGAGACATTAGTCTGTAACTTGAGAAGGTGATAGAACTTAAGTGACTTGCACTTTATGATTTAAACACTTCCTTCTAGGCTTGGTTTAGTCCTTAAAAGAGCTTTTTGTGGAAAGATTGACAGGAACCAACCAGCATATGTTGTATGCTATGAGGCTATGCATTCAGTGATATATGGTATGAACAGTGCTATTTGTACAATCCAGTTTTGATGATCAAAGTGAATTTTCTAGGGGTGCAATGCAATGCACAACCCGTCTCCTTGGCTGAGAAGTGACACTGTGCTGCGGCTTTGGCACAGTATGAGGGATTTTCTTTTTGTGTGATTGCGGACAACTAGGGATCATATAGTGAACATGCTGCTGCAGCAACAGCGTGTATCCACCTAAGAGAAAAAGGAATGCATCTTTATTGCTTGCTGAACCAGACTGTGCTCCATATGTCACTACTGTGCTGTCAGATCCTTTACTTATCAGCACAACACTGCAAGACCAGCTTGCTCTAGTCCAGCTCAAGTTATGTTTGCATAATTAATTGGAGGTGAACATGGATGATGATAAGTATGTAGAAGTGTAACTGAACACATATCCCATTAAATATAAATGATTTGTATGAGTTCCTCGAGAGAAGTTTGACTTGCTTACCTCAGTGAACCTCCCACAGTGCCTCTCACTGGCCATTCAGTTTTATACCTGTTCACAAAACCTCATTCCCCCTTCCAAATTTGGTCTAGTGATGGCTATAGCGTTGGAATGAAATAGCTGATGTTCTTTATGCTTGATGGTAGGCTAACCTAGCTTGTGATCAAGCCTAGCTATCAAAGAAAATGAAAAAAGGAAGGGTTGGAACAGGATGTAGGGCTCTGTGTTTCTGGAATCAAAGAAAGTGCTGTTAGGAGGTAGACACTGGATAGGTAAACACTTTGTCAATATCAGGCATTGGCTGCAGTCTGTCTCTTGAGAAAAAGTTTGGAATGAATACAAAAAAAATTATTTTATTTTATTTTAGTGTTTAGGTGTTAGATTCCCATCTTGGATCCATGTAATTTAGCTTCTAAGTGTTGAGGCTGAGCTCTGTGTTAAAAGCTTTCCCAACTTTTTTTTCAGGGGATGCCCGTCCAAAGCCACCTGTGAAACCCAAACCTTGTGTGTTGCCAAAACCAGCTGTGCCAGTGAAACCTGTTCCTGGACTGCGTCAGACTCTCTCTGAGGTGCCGTCTGCTGAAAAGATCAATTTATTGGCTGGGCCAAAACCATACAGCAGTGGGGCTGGCAGTTCTGTTAAACGCCTGTCTTTTAGCCTGAAGTCCCCTCCAAAAGAGGCAACCAATGGGAAGGAGGTTTTGTCTCCATTTTCCACTATGGTTAAGCCATGTGGAGAACATGGAGAAGCTGCTGGGCCTGCAAGGGAACCCGCTGCCATGGAGGGAACTTCTGGCAGAGAATGTGGAGAATCTTGCACTGTACGCAAGAGTACTGCTCCCTTCAAAGTAAAACCAGTGCTAGTAGCAGCCAAGCCAGAGCGTTTTCCTGGCACCACGGTGGAGGAGATCTTAGCCAAGATAGAGAAGCCCAACAAGGAGGGGCCGAACAGCCCTGAAAGGCCTCGGCTGGTGCGTTCTTTCTTCAGCCAGGATGGTGGCACAGCTGTTCATCTGGGGCCAAAGGGTTATACCACATTCCAGAGAAATGCCAGTGAAGGAGAACAGGGAGGAGCTGAATCAGAGGATCCTGTCTACAAAGTCTCTTGTGAAGTTGAAGAGAGCAGATTGTCAAGGAATAAGGAGGAAACCACAAATTCAAATGGTCAACATGTGCCTGAACCTGAGCAACCAGCAAGAGCAACAGAGAGAAACTTAGACTTCCTTTCTAGGGACAGGTGAGTTTCAGATAATTTTAATAGGCCATTTTTATAGTTTTTGATTGTTGGCTTTGTGGTGTATCACAAAGTGCAACTGATGTGGGATACAGATTCACCGTTGTTCTAACTATTTGAGTGCTGGGGAAGTGGAAGTACTGTGCCAGGTGTGTTTTGAGGATGGTTGTTTTTTTTTCTCACACTGCTCTGACAGAGCTGTGATTTAATTATTCCTGTGATTTAAAAATGGAAGCTAAGGATGTCACAACTGAAGGCTGCAATCCTACACACATACACATGAGAGTAAATCTCATTCAATTCAGTGTGGCCTTCCTCTGCCCTATCATGACTAGAATTGGGCCCATTTCTCATTGTTGTCTTTTCCAAATCCCAGGATAGCATTGTGAATCAAGGCAATTTTCGGGTCTTATATTGCAGCTGAGTAATTTATCAGGAAGAAGGAACTCTTTTGCACAGAACATGATGCTGCCTGGAGCTTTTAGTGAGGTCTAGAATAGAAATGGGGGTATTCATAAACAAATACGAATACACCCCCACATGTGCAGATAACGAGGGTCTGGCCCCCTGGGGCCAGACCAACCACTCACCTGTCTGCTGCCGCTGTGGGCTCCATGCTCCCTTCCTATCGCTCCAGAGCTTGCAATAAATTAACCACTCCTGGCAGAAGGCTGGATGATGAGTCTCTCTGCCAGGTCAAAGAGTGGCTAATCCATTGTGAGCTCTGGAGTGATAGGAAGGGATTGTGAAGCCTGTGGCAGCGGCGGAATGGTGAGAGGTCGGTCTGCACCTGTGGGGGAATATTCGTATGTGATTACCACCATCTCTAGTCTAGAAGTTTTTGTATTTTTCCATTTAGGGGAAGAGTTGCTTCATTTGGACTGGGCATGTGTGGAAAAGAATCTTTTGCCCGTTTTTTGTCGATAATGCATGTGTCAGGGAGAAAACCCTTTTGTGACAGATATAGCACAGGGGTCCTTAGGAATATTTTAATATTTTACTGTATTTGAATTGTTGTACGCCGCCCGGAGACCTTTGGGCAGTGTGGGCAGCATATAAGTTAAATAAATAAATAAATATGCTTGTTCTCCGTTATAATCATACCTGTATGGTGGCATATCTTTCTTCCGGCAGCTCCAGTCGACCTAGTATGAGCTGCGATGGAGGCCAACTTGGAAATAGCAGTCCATCATCTCCTCCTGGTGTGAGTTATCTGCAGCACGGCAATTCCTCCGCTGAGCTCTCTCCTTCCTGGCTGTCCTCTGTCTCAGGGGTATCTGCCACCTCTCTCCTTCCAGGCTCCCCCTCTGTAGGGTGCGTGTCTCCTTTCTCTACTAATGCTTGTCGTCAAGAAGAGATTGGTAACCTAAGCAAACAGTGCACAATCATGCACCTCTACTGGGTTTCTCAGGCTAAAACTTGCAGGGCACACCATTGTAAAAATCTAGTATACTCACTTGCCCAGTGACTGATACTTTGTGATCTGAAATATTCAGCCTTAGCTCTTCAAAGGTGGTCAGTTTCTGACAGATCAACATGAGATTTTTGAAAACTTACCTATTTCACCTTACATGGCATGGGAAAATTTATTAATGCTTCTCGCCAGTGAGCCTAGCATGTAGCCCTCCATAACTTTCTCAATGCTTATTTTCAAAAAACACATCTCCAGCAAGAAAGCCAGAGACGTGGATCCATGATCCTTCAGCCATTCAAACAAAACAACTTAGCTTGGGTTTTCAGCTGGGTTAACTAGCTAATGCGAGTCTAACCTAGGCTAAGCTTGAAGGGTTAGTTCAGAGTTCTGGCTCTTAGCTGGAGGCAAGGGAGAAGCTGTGACTCAATGCACACAGTTCAGTGACCTATGTATGAAGCAATTCCTAACTACTTGGCCTGGGGCCAAATCCACAAACAGCTAAAGCACAACCTCTTCTTATTCCTTGTTTGAGGTGGGTGATGGTAATGATTAACTTCTTTTGCCTCTCCCAGGGAAGGAGAGGGTGAGAAAGGCTTTCAGCTCATTGAGTGTGATTACCTAGCTTGGCTTTGTTTCTCCTTTATTGTAGGTCTGCTGGAAAGGAGCCTGGGGTGGGGCACACAACCTTGGTTTTACTGTGGCAGCTTGGCTTGTTTCTTTGGCTTCTGTCTTTCCCTTCTTCCTTCACTCTTTGCATTTCATTTCGTTCTGGCATTAATGATTGTGAGAAGATTTGGTTGGGAGGGTGGAAGCAGGTTTTCCAGATTATGGGGTTAACCTCCATCATGTAGAAATGGAACAGGCTGATTCAAGTGATGAGGGCAGGATTGGGGGAGTGCATTTATTTATTCCATACAGTTTGGGGATAGGAATCAATACCATGTTGTAAGTGGGGGATGCTTAGTATGTTTCATGGATGAAGACATTTTTGTAAAAAATCAATTCTTCCCTTCTCTTGCTCTTTCTGTCCCCCAGACCTATCAACCCCTCTCTGAGTTCTCATCTGGATTCACACCTGGGTCTCCAAGTGCCGCTGCTGAAGCAGCCCAAGCCCCAGGTTCCCCATATATTCCAGCAGCTATCTCGAGCATTAAAGCTCAGTTTCCACCAGGATCCCCTGATGCACCTCTTGAACCTCTCAGATCTCCTGTCTGCAGCTCTCTTAGTGTTACCCAGTCTCCAGGTTCTCCTCCAGCCCTTCCAGATCCCGTGCCTCCAGAATGCCCCAGCATTTCAATTAAAACCTTGACAGGGCACCCCATAATTTCAGGTATTTCAGACCTCACTAGAAGAGACCCTGATGTCTCTCTTCTCCCTAGACAGTCTGCCAGTTTCACCCATGCTCATGGTGACCATGGCCCAGCTCCCCAACAGAATTTGCTTCAAATGTCTGAGTCCCCTGGTTCCCCAAGTACTTCTGAGTACCATGTAGGTTCTGATCAGCCCCCTGGCTCCCCCACCAATAAACAAGTCCCCTCTGTACTCTCTGGGGACCATGAGCTCCTCAGGAATCAAGTGCAGATGCCCTTTCTTAATGAAGACCCCCAACTCTCTAAGCTGGGCCTCCGGCGTGCCTCAGAGGGAGTGGTGCAGCCACAGCATAAAAACACAGTCAGGGAAGAGTTGGGAGGATCCTTGGCAGTTTTGCCAAGTGGAGGGGGCCATCCATTTTCGTCAGGGGGAGAGTCCAACTGGAGCCTGTCCCAGTCCTTTGAGTGGTCCTTCTCTAACCAGCCTGTTGAGCTGGGTGAGAGGAGACTGGGATCTCCTCCCCAGTCTCCCATTCAGGAGGCTGAAGACACTGTTCTTTTGGAAACAGAATTAGGGGTAGAGAATCTCAGACACAAAGGGGCTTCTGAGGAGACAGGGTCACAAGAGCAGAACAGGAGAGGGGAGGAAGATGAACCTGAGGCTTTGGGGTGCTCTTCCGGCCTTTGTGACTCCAGTGATTCCCAAACTAATGGGAAAAAATCTGAGGGGCAACTGGAGTCCCCTTCAGCCCTTAGCATTTCAGGGCCTGGAGGTCCCTCTGTTCAGAAGGAGCCTGCTAGCCTCGAGCTAACAACACCTATAGTGGCTGCAGAAGTTGGATTTCAAGAGGAGGGTGATAGCTTCCTACCTTTTTCCCCAACCCATGAGGAGGGGGCTTTACAGATAATGGAACCACTGTCAAGTGTAGAGACAGCTGCCCCTCCTGCAGAGCCTTGCATCTTGTTCTCGGAACATGCCCAGGTGCAGACGGCTGCTTCCTGCCAGGAGGATGATGATGCTCTGGGACTGGCACAGGAAGGCAAGGCAGGGGACACTGACCTGAGGGGAGCTGAGCCTCATCCTGGCTCACACTGGTTGGACAAACTCCTGGCATCTCCTCCACCCAGCGCTGATGATGTGAAGAGGAGAGGCTTGCCCAAGTTGGAGCACCCGATAGGACCAGAGGTAAATGTGCTTTATTTAGTGTAAGTCTGGAAAGCTGCCTGGGGCCAAGAAAAAGTTCTTGAATGGAAGGTGCTACTGCTATTCTTTTTCTAGTGCTTTTAGGACATGGCATGCAAAGCATTAAATGGGTCCATGCACAGCTAAGTGGCTGAACATTCTTGCCTAGTTAGATAACAGATGGGCCTGTCTTTGTGAAGGGCAGGTCTTGGTTTTTAAGTAAGCTGCAAAGTTGTCAGACAGGTTGGATGGCTGCAGAGCAGGTGAGCCTGGATACTGAGCCAGAAGGTGGTGCCACATGGGATAATCCTCTAATCATCCTGGGAAGGGCACCTCCCCTCTTCTCCCCAGATCCAACCTTCTGTGCACATCAAAGGTACTCTTGCCTTTTTGGTTAGATGTTGGCTGACAAGATGTTGTGACTTGTGTTCCATCCCATTCAACCTGAAGTGTGCTTTAGTTTTGTAGCTATATATATAAAATTGCATGTTGTATATAAGCCAGTACAATAACTGATATGTGTGTTAGTTATTGTACTGGCTTGCATACAGGGACTAATAAAGAGTCATGGTGTTCTAGAACCATGAATTAAATGTTCAAAGTGGTGAATGTAATAAGCGGTATTTCTGAAAGGCCATGAAACCAGACAGGCTGATTGGAGTTTCAGCAGTTTTGTTACTGTGTATTGCAAGCTGTCTCCATTATCAGTGGTTCCTATGTCCTTTCCCTTTTGGGCCGTGTAAATAATTTCCATACAACTTTTTTGTGCTCTTTGCCAGTACACCCTTGCTAAAATCATTCCCTGACACTGATATTTTTGTGGGCATTTTTTGTTACAATTTTGTTAACAAAAAAGAACTTTTATGTAGGAGAACAGGCAGAACTTACATGTAGCTGTATCTTAAATGTAGCACGGTATATCTGTACATAAGTGGAGATCATTTTTCAGTATGGCACACGCCTAGCTACAAACAGGCAGGACTGTCACACATGATAATCTGCATGTGACTTTGACACATAATTTTTTTCTACTTGGAATTGCTTTCCATATAGGAAAAGTGTAATGTAGAAATTGTTTTCCTTACAGAAAAATAGTAGCATCAGAAAAGGCCCTAAAGAGACTAGGAACAGAAAAAGTTATCTTATTCTAAGTAGGACCATTGATCCAGCTAGTTCAGTATTGTCTATATCATTCGTCTCCAGTCTTTCAAGATCTGGAATCTATTTTTAAATCACATTTGTATCCAGGGACCAATGTCTTAATTTTAACTCTATATTTTGTAGTAATATCAGGCTGACTCAACGGATCTTGACTGAGCAAATGAAGACCAGCATCCTCCAGCTATTGTGAACTACAACTCCCATAAACCATAGTCAGCTTGGATTAGAAGAATTCTAGTTCAGTACCTCTGGAGGGAAACAGATTGCATGCCTCTTGTCTACACAGGATTCCAGATACGGCTTTTTTCCAGCTGTAGCTGGAGGTATCAGCATACGAACCTGGGATTTTTGGGGGCTTATGAAATATGTACCCTCCCCTCAGTTACAAAGGTTAAGTCAAATGATAGGACAGATCCTGGTAAATTTCATTTTTCAGGTTGTTTTTAGGTATTTTTATACTGACTGTTTAAGGAATCCAGTCTCTCCTTAATTTTTGCTCCCTTGGCCATGTTTTTCTCTTTGCCTTGTTTTTCTTTATTAGGATCTCCTTGGATGGTCACGGAAGGACCTCTGCAGTGAATTTGGGATAGTGGAAGCTAATCGGTCTGCTGCCTTTGATGTGGATTGGGCTCCTGACATCAGCAAGGTGGATTGGCCTGGTGAAACAGAACAGGATCGAGAGTTTGGCCCTGGCACACAAGACTGGTCAACCTCATACAACATTGGTGACACGCAAAGGCAGGATGTAGAATTTGGTGCCAGTCAGCAAGACTGGACCAAGGGGACACCATTGTTGGGTGGTTCGAGCCCCAAACAAGAAGAATGGCTCACTGCCTATAGTAGCAGCTGTTCAGACCAACAGATGAAGGAGTCAGATTGGAGCAGCACATATAGCATCAGCACCACTGAGCATCAAGAAGGAGAGCCATATGTGAGGAAGCCAGGATGGCCCCAACTTTGCACTGATGTTGATGATGAGGGGAACAGTAAGCATTCAACTGAGAAGACAGGATGGAGCAAGCAGTATAATGTTGATGCTCTTGAAAGGATTAGCTGGCCCAATAAATGCAATGTGGAAATTTCCAGCTGCCCAGAGCCAGAAGTCAACACCAGTTCATCAGCTGAGTCTAGCAAATATCCTACTGACAATCTACAGGGCACAGAGCTCAACATTGGACATTCAGAGGGCTCTGATGATGCTATTGAAGTCATCTCTCACAATGACCCGGTCAGTGGCAGTGAGTCAGTCTGGCCTAGTGAATCCATTGCTGGTTGCAGAGCTAAACAACTGCAAACAGAGTTGTATGCCTCCCAGCTGAAACAACCTACTGAATACAGTAGCAACACTCTGGAATCTCAGGGTAGCATCCAACAGCAACCACGACCTAATACATATGGCCTTGATGACAGCTGCTCTCAGGACCATATATGGAGTGTCAAGCAGTCTGACTGGCCCAGCAAATATGACTTGGGAGTTGCCCAGACCTCTGATGGCAGTTTCAGTGCTGAGAAAACAGATGCATCTAGTGAACATGATGATGGCCAGGCATGCTGGGAAAAAGAACTCAGTGATATAAAGAAAGGCAACACCACTACATCTGAGACTGGTGATCTGGAATTTTGTACCCAGAGCCCAGTCTGGGCCGATGATTATAGTCTGAGAAAAACTTGCCCACAAGGAAGTGATTTCTCTGCTGGCACAAGAGACTGGGTTAAAGACACTGATGCCTCAAGAATTGAACAAAAAGAACTGTTTGGTGCCACACAAAAGGACCGAGATGGTGTTTTTCGCCCAGTAGATTTTCCAGGTCAAAGATTAGTGGTAGATTTGGGAGCAACAATTGATAGCCAGATGGATCTGAGTGAGACCCTTAGAACTGTGGGTGAGACAGAGTTCAGAGGAGTTGGAGAGGGGCAGCATGAATGTACTCCAAGCCTTGGCTTTAGACATATAGACTTGGAAACTGGGTGCCCAGATACATCTACAGAATCTACAGAGAAGGAGCACCAGTGGTTCCCTTCCATGGACTTAGAAGCCTCTTCTGCCTCGCCAGAGGCAGAGGAGACCAGAGAGCCTGGTGTGGGGCAGGCAGATTTTTGCTATCCATTTGGTACTGAAACCATGGATTTATTTAATTTGAGGCCAAAGGCTTTAAATATGACTGAGGAGGTAGGCCCAGTACAGATGGATTGCTCTGATGCAACACTGGTGGAGTGTGAGGACTACAGCTGTCATTTGAAAGCTACTGGTTTGGGCAGTGATGTGATGCAGCACTCAGAAACATCTGGAGGCTCTGTAGACAGGTAAAGCCAATGATGAATCCTTAATAAAATAGGTTGGAAAAAGAATGGGGGAGAATGCATGTAAATTGGTAATGAAACTAAAGTACTGATTGACTTTGCACTTATTGTATTTTTCCGTGTATAGGATACTACTTTTTCCTAAAATCATTACACTAAAAATTGAAGGGCATCTTTTACACAGAAGTAAGCCGAGATAGCTGAGGAGAGAACAAAATGGCACATACCTTTCCTCTGTGAACAGGCTTCCTTCTGGCACGAGCCTGATGGAACTGATGTCAGCTGATGCTGAATAAGCCAATTGGAACACACCTTGTTTGAGGTGGCGCCTATGGGCTCAGATTCAACAGGGACTCTTAATCTCCAGCGTTCTGAGCCCAGAGGCTCAATACTCAAAGCTAAGATTTCTTAATTTTTGGGTTAGAAAAGGGGGTGTGTCTTATAAACGGAAAAAATACGGTACATTCATGTTAAGTCAATCCCTGCTAGGAGGCCAGAGATGGAGAACATTGACATAGTAGCCATGGCATACCACTGTATTCCAGTGTTCCATGGATATCTTCTGTCTAGTCAGGAAATCAGGGATAAGTTTAAAGTTCTACATCTAGGAAAAAGAATTAAAATGCATAGTTACATGATGCTTAGTTCAGTAGTACTACATGCAAGAAGGATCTTGGAATTGTAGACCACAAGCTGAATGTGAGCCAACAGTGTGTTGTGACTACAAAAACAGCCAGTGCTGGTTTCTATTTTAGTCTCCGTTAACAAAAGTATCGTCTCCAGATTCCATATTTGGCACTGATTAGGTTTCATCTTGAATAATGTGTCCAGTTCTGGACACTACACTTTAAGAAGGATTTTGATGAACTGGAACCAGTACAGAGGAGGGCAACAAGGATGATCAGGGGATTGGAAACCAAGCCCTAAGAGGAAAGACTGAAAGAACTGGGCATGTTTAGCCTTGAGAAAAGAAGATTTAAGGGAGATACAGCATTCTTCAAATGCTTGAAAGATTGTCATACAGATGAGGGGCAGGATCTGTTTTCAATCATCCCAGACTGCAGAATATGTAATAACAGGCTCAAGTTACAGGAAGCCAGATTTAGACTGAATATCAGGAAAAAATTCTTAACTATTAGAGCAGTACAACAGTTACCTTGGGAGGAAGCAGTTACCTCAGGAAGTGATGAGTACTTCCATGCTGGAGACATTCAAGAGAAAATTAGAGTCATCTGTCAGATCTGCATTGAGCAAGCGGCTGGACCTGATAGCTTTATAGGCCCCTTCGATTATTCTATGATACTATGAAAAAGTATACGGACCCAGAATGTGCATTGTCAGTGTGAATCTCACAACCTCACACTCTTGGAGAAAAATGGGGGAGGAGAATCCTCCTTTTCCCTTACAGTGAGAGTGTTCTATGTAAGGTTATTTTTTTCAGAAGAAATTTCACAATATATCCAATGAAAATGTAAGTTTCATGGAAGAAATGACAGGCTGTACAAGGCCGTTACAACTCCTATGCAGAATGGCATATATTTCACATCTAGTACTAAAACATGACTGTATTTGCTTTGGAGCCAAAGGTTTTATATGGAGCTGAGACAGTCAGCCCAATACAGATCACATGAGGAAGACAAACTTTCTGGGTCCAGGCCAGGGACTGTGAAATCCTATGCACGATTTGGCAGTTTCCTGTGCAGAATAATAGGCAAAAGAATAAAATAAAACGGCATATAGATAAAAAAGGAAGCCAAGAAATGTTGCTGATGCATGGCAGTACTTGGAAAATCACTAAGAAGAAGATTTTTTTCTCAGTACTCGTCAGATTCCTAGTCTGTGTTAGTTGTTCAAACCTGGCTGCTGAAACACAGCCAAGTACTTCACTGGTTGCAGAATGAACTTGCAGCAGCTGTGGTGAGTCTGCATCTGGCCATTCAGAGGATGTTTTTCACTTTTCCTAGGTGACCAGGCAATTGCCTAGAGGCAAGACCTTTCTTTGCCCTGCAAGTGTTGCCCTCTTTGCCATTGTATGGTCATTTACCCATCTGTCCCAGTGTCTTTTCTTGGATAGCTGCCATGTTTAATAGGATGGAAAACAAAGAGACTGATTAATTTTTTTTGACTTGCAGCAGCTTGTGTTTTGCTTTCAGTTATAGCTGTCTTGGTTCAGCAACATCCTGTCCCGTGTCCTTCATACACAGCATCAGCAAAGTCATTCAGTATGCTCCATAGCTGCTTCCTCCTGTTATGCTTTCTTGTAATAAATGCAGAATGAATTACAGTATCTATACAGTGGTGCCTTGCTTAACGATTACCTCACTTAACGATTACCTCCACTTGACGAGGTTTTTGCGGTCGCAAAATGATGCTTTAATGGGTAAAATTCGCTTAACGATGATCGGTTTCCTGCTTCGGGAACCGATTTTTCGCTTAATGATGGTCTGAAAACAGCTGATCGGTGGCTCTCAAAATGGCCGCCTGCTATTTTTAGGACGGATTTTTCGCAAGAGAGGCACCGGAAAATGGCCGCCCTATGGAGGCTTTTCGCTTTACGATGAGGTATTTCGCCCATTAGAACACATTAGCCAGTTTCTAATTCATTCTAATGAGGTTTTTACTTTCGCTTGACGATGATTTTGCTCTACAGTGATTTCGCTGGAACGGATTAACGTCGTCAAGCGAGGCACCACTGTATTTCTTTTTACTATTTTCTGCAAACTGCTTTATCTTTCAAGAATCTTTTTTCTTTCTGTGGGATATATAGCTCTTCTTACTTCAGTCTGTGCTCAGGTGACTAAAGGACTTTGGACACTGGAGAAATAGAAATCATGTCTGACCTTGATGACTCGTCCATCTTCCTCTTTAGCTAACTCTAAAAGCTCAAAATTTAGAATCCTGCCTGTAGCATACAGATCCTTTACAATCTATTCATGTAAGGAACACATTATAATGTATTATCAAAGGCATTCACAACCAGGATCCGATGGTTGTTGTGGGTTTTCCAGGCTGTTTGGCTGTGTTCTTAAGGTTTTTCTTCCTAATGTTTCGCAGTCTCTGTGGCTGGCATCTTCAGAGGACAGGAGTCGGAACTCTGTGCTGTGCAACACATTATAACATTATTTTCTAGTTTATACTTTTTCTGCAACTCCTCAGATTTTTGTAATTTGAGGTCTTGCAACTTGAGATTTTCTCAGTAATCATCATTTTTTTCCTCCTGCTAATTTCCTTGCCTTCTATTGTTTTCTCCTTGATACCTTTCATTTCCACGATCATCCAAAGCACATTGAATCATCATCAGTGAGACATCAGGACTGACAAAGGTGCTAAGTAAAACGCAGCATTTGCTGGGGCCCACAGCTAATAGAAGAGCTTGCCAAGCTTCCATCTGATATGGTCCGTAATCTGGGTCTCTTGAATAGTGAAGATTATTCCTGGGCATGGCACTTGGAGCTACCTGAGAGACAATGGGCCTTTTACCAGCATCCTGAACAGCATTACACTAGCCTTCTCACTTAAGGGCATGCTGTTCATCTCTCTTATGACAATACATTAACCAACTTCCCAACTGGGAGTCAAAACAACAAAGGATGATTAAGAAGTGGTCTGATTTGGAAGTGGCACACTTTTGATGAGGGAGGAGCCAGTAGATAAAGGAGAATTGGAACGGCCCTTTTGGCTTGTCACACCAGAGGTTGCTGAAATTCCTTGTCCTCAAATGTAGAGTCATTACTGGCCTATCATGATAGAAATGTGGTGGAAGGGAAAATATGGGAAGACAACTTACAGATAATGCTCTAGTTATGAAATGGGAACAGATCCATGAAGCCTTCTCACTGTGTTGTTGATGCATATATAGAAACCAGGGGAGGAATTAGATCCAGTTTTACCCTTTATTAGTTGAGGTTGTCATCACATGGTCTTCACAACCAAGAAAAAAAGAATGGCTATGGAGGGTTGTTTGGCAGCTATAGAGAGGGCAAGGTGGACAGAGAATAAATATTATCTAATGAAGGACAAGTTGTACACACAATAAGCAGATTCAAGAAGCAGATTCAAGCAAATGGCCGGGGAAGTGTATAAAAGGCCCAGAGGATGGCATGTTGCCCATACCAGTATAAATTCTGTCGCTATTTTGAGCAAGAATGTGCTTCTGGTAACCCAGAGAACTAAGTATGGCTGGACATGGCAAGCACAGTCTTCTCCTTTTCTACGTAAAATTAATTAAACAAATTGTAGATTTTGCTTCAGAGTAAATATGCATAGGATTGTGCTCTTGGTAATGCAGAACCAGTCCTTGAAGGCTGTTGGATCCTTGAAGGCTATTGGATCATCAGCTTTGTGGATCTAGCATAGAGGCTGCTGCTCCTGTAACTAGTTTCATACATCATTAACATTTGAAAGCAATAGGTGGTCTAGCTTGTTTTTCTCTTGATGCTAAAGTACTCCTTTTCCCCCAGTTTCCTCTAATGAAGCCTGGTGCTGTCTTGGATTATAGGATCTCCACTTCAGTCCTGCAGGAGTATATCCCATGAACACTCAATCATATTATTCTTTATTAAGGCAGACCATTATTTATCTGATGAGTCCTGTTTGAGGTATTTGTACTGCTTCTTCATTTGTAGTAGTAAATTTGTATCTTCCCAAGCTAGTGTGCAATTTTTCTTTAGCTCTTCATTGTAATGAGAAGGCGTTCATTCTCCCTTTTGTAATTCAGTTCAGTCTTCTGTGTACTTGAATTCCCCTTGCACACCAAGGGAAAAAATAGGAAGGAAAATTCCTGATATGAGGAAACCTTGTGGGGAAAGGCGCTATATTAGAATGTTAGTAATCCTACAGAGGAGAGTAGCAAGCACCAGAAACTGACTTGCTCTGTCTCACATCTGAACAGAAAATTCCATAGCCAGCGGCTGTCCAGTCCTAGCCGCCTGCTGGAAGAGATGGTTTCCAAGAGTGCTGTTGAAGAGGTGGTCCAGCAGAAGAGACCTATCTCTTTCCCCAGTTGCCAATCAGAAGGGGAGAAGGGATTGAGCAGCTTTCCTGATCTGCAGGTGCCTTCAGATGAGAAGGCTAGAGGATCACCTTCCCCAATGGTGGACAAAGAAAAGGTTTTGTCTGATGTGGATGGTGGCAGCCGCCGCTTGGACAGTGGAAATGAGAGTGAGTCATACTTGGAAACAAAAGCATTGTGTCATCTAGAGAAAAATGGAAGCCAGGGCATGCAGACTGTGTCCCAGGAGGATCAGGCTTCAGACGGGGGTGAAACATTGGCAACAGAAAACTTCATTTTCTTGGAGGTAACTGTTCCTTGGGATATTTCTGACATGATCACTTGTTCAGACACTTCTTGCACTTTCATCTAGCTGTGGACTATATGCATGCAGAGCCTGGCCAAGCTGTATTTCATGGCTGAAATTCTGTTTGTAGTGTAAGAAGTCAAATTGTAACTTTTGGTCCATTCCTCCCTGGAAAACAAAGTGTCCTTGCCACAGTTTTTGGGTAATGGGGAGGCCATGCCTGAGAATCAAGGCAGGGACACATTGTTTACCAGGGAGAAACGGACCAAAATTTATGATTTGAACAAGATTTCAACCAATATATTATATGCTGTATTTAAATGTATTGTTGGATATTTCATGCAGAAAGTCATGCTTCAGCTTTGCTGAACAGAATTGTTTTGGTGGATACAAAGCTGCCCTTGCCCTTCCTTCTGTGTCCCCAGTGTCAAGTCTGGCCACTGATTACAGACAATATTGCCAGGCTTTGCAAGTTGGCTTATGACTGTTTTGAAGAATAGCTTGTATCTTCTTGGTGATGTAGGAGGAAGGTGGAGACTGGGGAGGGAAGAAGGACATCTGTATTTTTCTAATGTTATCATTGTGACTGGATAGCAGATATGCATCTAGTAAGGCAGAAGATAAAAGTTGCATTTCAAGGGATGGGGTTCACTCAATGCCAAACTGCTTGGAAGCATACCTGTGGGGTCCGAGTTACACTTTTAACATTATGCTATGTGGGAGAGAATAGAATGTTCAAGGTACTGGTAATAAGCTCCACCCCAGACTTCAGGTGAATTACAACAGGGAACAACACTTACGAACCACTTGCAAACTGTTCAGATGTATTGTAATGCATCCTGCCTGAGGTTGTTCTCTGCCTTCTTTTGCTCATAGCCTGTGAAGTTTGTGAAATACAGGAATATAATTCTGAAACAGGCAGGGAAAAGAAAATATTTAGAGTGGGCCAGAATAAATTTAAATTACTAAACACATTTTAAAGAATCAACAAGATGCATTTTGTTTTGGCTGCATTGTGTTTTGGTGGGGAGAGTATATTGATATTCACTTGGCATGATTTTATAGAGTAAATCTCTGCCTGAAGTGTATATGGCATAGTTTTGTTCACCAAAAGAACTGAAGGACAAAAGTTGTTTTAGCAAGGGTGGGCAGAGTGCAGGCTGTGGTTTGCGTATGGCCCCCAGGCCATTTTTATAGCCTGAAGGATGTCACAGACATCTCTTATGTCTCTCAGTGTCAAAAAAATGAAAATTGTATATTTTTCCTCATTTCTGATGGCCCATAGGAGCACTAACCTTTGCTTGATTCAGATCTGTAGGGATTAACTCTCCACAAGTTCTAAAAATGAAAACCAGAAATGGTCCTCTGTACAACTCCAGTTTTAATGGGGGGGGCACGTTGGGCCATTTCCAGACCCCATCTGGTCCATGGCAAAGCCTATGGCAAAAATGTTTCCCCTCCACCTGCTCTACCAAAGTTGTCTGTTCTGGTCTGCAGATATACCAGAGGTGCTGGAGTTGTGTGGCATTGCTGTGCATTTATGTAAGTTCGTTGCCCTGATCTTTTCCTTCACTTCTTATGTATGCATTCAGGATACAGAGGTTCTCGACAACACTGTGTACCGTGACCGTGCTAATTTGGGTCGTAAGCGGGGTCATCGGGCACCAGCTACCCGGTCTGGAGGTGCTATTTCAGAGAGTGACAGGAATAGCTGGATGTTCAGAGATTCCACAGGTAAGATTGGATGTTGCAAGCTAAGTCTGGCATGTCGTTAGCATATAATCCTTTTCTTGAGTGTTACACACATCTTTTATGTGTGTGTCTTAGGATGTTTTATTCATATATTCCAGTCAGTTATGCAATTTGTGTATAGCATCTTCCTTTTGAGGCTGTTCTTGTTATTATTAGTTAGATGCTCACTTTTCTTCACAAGGAGGTCTTGACCATCTTGCATGTGATTCATAGGTAGCCTGTTTTCCATACTGCTAAGATCAGATCCTCTTAATATATTCATATATGTTTATTTTAATAAAGCTTTACTAGTTGCAGCTGTATTGCCCTGTAAATTTTATTTATTTATTTATTTATTTCATTTATATCCCACCTATCTGGTCGTGTCAGGACCAGATAAATGTGGATGGTACTTAAACAGTGCAAAAAGATGGATCACTACTCCAGTTTAAGATCTGATACTGGGCAAACAAGATAGGAGGGGACAAAGTGGGTGACAGGTTGCTTGAGCTGTATCTGCTTAGACTTAGTTCCAGAGTCTGCCAGATGGCCCAAGTGCAGCCTGGCTAAACATATCAAATTTATTTGGCTGGAATTCCCCAAGTTATCTGTACTCACTATGTTCTAGGCACTGTGCTTTAGATTGTTTTTCATCCTTGGTAGTGGCATGAGTTGTGGGGTGTTGTGTAGCATTAGCACAGATTCTTCTTGATGTTTACTTTGCTATTTCTCTCTGTTCAGAGCCTAGAAGAGCTTCTGCAGCTTCTGATGAAGAAGTCCAGGAGGAGCCAAAGAGCAGGAAGTCACGGAGTTCTCCTTTGTCCAAGGGAGTTAAAGGACCGCTCTTCCCAGGCCTCAGCCCCTCTGCATTGAAGGTAGATTCAAGTAGCAGGGTGAAATAGCCTGAAGAGTGAGACATTTAACCAGTATGTTAGTGTTGGTTTCATGATTCCTTAAGGGGAATTGTAATGTTCCACATAAACCTTCAAGTTGAAATCAAAGTATTGATCAAGGATGGAGGAAGGTTAGTATCTTTACCCCTTGACCTTAAGTGCAAAGACCAGGTAGGGGCAGGAATAAAGCCAGTAAATATCAGGGAGAAAATGCACAGGAGAGCTGTAGGCAATTGTTAGATGTTCTGCAATGTGCCTGCTTGTAATTTGTTTTCTTTGATTACAGGCCAAGTTGCGAGGGCGAAATCGCTCTGCTGAGGAAGGAGATCCACAAAGTGAGGCCAAGGATGCCCAAGTACAGCGCTCTAAATCCTGCAAGATTGGTGGGAAGCCTCTGGTACTTCCACCGAAGCCAGAGAAAACTGCAGGGTAGGTGTGTGGTGATACTGTAGAGGCCTTAAAACTGCATATCTGTGTGGGTGCTATATGTAGTGCAAGAGAAGAGTATGATGAATCTCCAGTAATTTTAACAAAACTGGTGGCACTCAACAACATTGTGTTGGATAAAAAAAGGATAAAAGTGATTTGCATTTATTAATGATATAAACTTATATTTATTAGTGATCTAAACTATAATGATCTCAATTATCCAAAGTGCCATTGCTTTTGTAGCTATAGGGTACCACTATACCACTTTTTTCACAAGGAAAAAAGATACAAGGGGCCAGCTGAAAACATCTACTTGGTTCTGAGACCACATTTGGGCCAGGGAAAGTGGGTAATTATCTTTTTCTTCTATATACTAAAATGCCCCCTTACTGCTTTTTAAACATTTTCTAATTCCTTAGATCAGAAACATCCTCACCCAATTGGCTGCAAGTGCTGAAACTGAAAAAGAAGAAGCCTTGAAATAAAACAAAGATGCAGGCAAGTGTCTCCTCTTGGACATCTGGCTTGAGTCTCACTTGTCAAACAGCATCTGATCCCTGATATTCATGCTTGAGAGCTGACCATTGCTTGCCAAGTGCAGTATATAACAGCAAATTGGCCACTTTGATTCTGCAGCTGCAAGAAAGGTTTGTGGGATTTGGCCCAGATGTAACTCAATATTCTCACTAAAGGAGAAAAGAAGTGCCTGTCACTCTTACTGGACCAAGCAGTTCAACCTCTATTGAAATTCTGCGCACAGTTGATGGGATTGGAAAGAATTGTAAGAAAGTTTGTTCCTTTCATTGCCAATACTCAACCCAATTTTCCCACCATGTGCCTCAATTCAGCTTTTGACTTCTTGTATTTGCATTGCATGTTTGAAATCATGCTTGTGCAAAACCTGTGATTTGGAGTAAATGTGTGATATATTGAGAGAGTTCCTGTGCTGCAATTGGCTGATCTAAGCTTTTTGGAAATTGGAATTATCATTCCAGTCACAATATTTCAACTATTTAGTCAGTGTCTCGGCGTTCGTCAAGCTGTTGCTAAAATATAGCTACTGGATGTGGGCTTATGGAATCAGTGTTCCCTCCTCTGCTTCCTACTACAGGTGTAGTTCTATCAATATAACCCCAGAATTGTCAGAGGAGGGAATTATCATGTTCAGGAAAAAACTGTTGTTCAGGACAAACAACTTGTGACCCTGCAGGTGCTTTTGTACTGCAGCTTTCATGATCCATTACTATGGGCTATGCTTGCAAGGACTGTTGTGAGTAGAGAAATATGTGTAGAACCACAAGTTACCCCTGCTGCAGTTAGTAGAACAGTGTGAATATATGGAAGTTGCTCTGGCAAACTCTTCTATATCAGTATGGCAAAACTTAGAGTAAGTTGGTCCTCTGATATCTTACATACAGTAGGTGATTGATCCTCCATGTTCCTGATGACCATGTTTTTGCCTGGCTATTTGAAACCCTACAGTCAGCAACAATAAAGGACACCTTCGGCTTATGCCATCAGCCAGAGGTCAAGTCACACAATATAACATGCCAGGCCTGTACATCTAGCTGTGATTTTTACATTTTTTTAAAAAAATATTTTTTTTCTCTTTGTAGTATTTTAGTAGTTCAATAAAGGTATTACCCACGCAATTATAAACACAAGGTAATTTTTATGCCTGGCTTTTTATGTAAAGGAACTGTTCCAGTTAGATTATAGACCCACTGAAATAAATGGGACTTGTTAGTTGCCTCTTGCACAGTCCTGTTCATTTCAGTGAATCTACTCCAATTAGAACTACCATTAGAATTTGCCTTGTACCCTTATCAGTAAGATACAAAGTTGAATAGGGGATACTCAGAACAGGAGTCATTGTCAGTGAGCACTTTACACAGATACCTTTCTTGCCACTGGAAAATACATGGTATGAAATGACCCTGGGTGTGTAGCAGCTTGCTTCTTCATGAAATCCCCCCCTGGGGGGGTAGTGCTATACATGATTTGCCATTTCTTTTGAGATAAGTGTGTTGTGAATGGAGTACATTTCACTCATCTGTAATTAAGATTTTAGGCTGGCTATGAAGTCTATCTAATTAAAGAATTAATTAGGAGAAATGAAAGGAGATTGGTTCCTTGGGAATCCTAAAATGTGAGTTGAGCAAAGATTTGACAGAATCCACCACTATGCTGTTTGGACAAGTCATTCATGTGCTTCTGATTTGAAGCCAGGCAACAATGTTTAACTGTGTAGGTGGGATCCCTGCATTACAGCAAACAACCCTTACCACGTATTCTCTTGCAACCTTTGTAATTCCCTGTCATATTCTTTTTGTTGCAGATGTTGGTCTCCTGCTCTTGGGGCTTGACAACAGACGTTCCAGTGAGCTGTTCACGGGTGGGAGGTGGGATGGTGGGTTTGAAGCCAGAGTCCCCATCCAATTACATTGAGGGAGGTGGGGTGGGTGGGGGAGGTTGGGAGGGGAGAGGGAGGATAAGGCACATTTATGCACTTTGTATCACATTCACTCATGCATATGGCGGTCAGATTCTCTCTGCCACTGTTCTGTCTGTTTCCTCCTGCTTTGTTTTGCCATCTTATACCAAGTACAGTTTTATAATGTCTTTTTATTTTATTTTATTTTTAATCAGTCAAGGAACTTCATGCCAGCCGCTTTTCTTTCACCCCTGTGTAGGGAGGGAAGACAAAGAGGTGAGGCCTTTGCTCTCTCTGCTGCCGTATAATGCATTTCAGACAAAAGAGGAAGGGATTTTTTACCCTTCTGTCACTTGAAATAAATAAAGGTTTCATGGTTATGAAAGCACTGTGGTTGTAGTGTGCTTGTGTGTGATCCTCTGATCTGTAGCCAGAGCCAGGTCTTGTTACTTGGCAACAGGCTTCTGAGATGGGCAGACAACGTCAAGGGTTATAATGAAATGCTGGTGGAGAACAAACGTGATGTGCTTTTGAGGGGACAAATCACTGTAGCATTCTGTATAGTTTCCTGTTCAAACTGATTTTTGTACTTGTTGGTATTGGAGTTCAGAATGAACGTCAGTATTATAATAAAGAATTTAGTTTTTCCACTCGCTTTCAATAGGGATCAACAATATGCATCAGATGGAACAATGAATGGCAATGAGAGAAGGTTGGAGTTATGACCAGCCCCTCCCTCCCATCCATATCTAAATTGCTGCTTTTAACACCAGGGAAACAATCTGGGCTGCATTAGCATTGCAGGGAGGCTAACCTTTCCCCCTCCTGCCCTCATCCTAATTGAGACGGTTCTCCTGCTGCTGCTGTTGCCTGGCCTTTTTCTCAATGAAAAAAAGACTACATCTCTGTATAACAAACTGGACGGTGGATATAAATGGGTGAAAATCTCTGGAGTTTCGGGATTGTACAGAAAGTGACCAAGGAAAACATGCAGACCATAGGTTGCTGTTACATTCAGAAAGATGGTTTTGTTTTCTTCCTTTCAGCTCTGAGTAGCCTCTGAATTACTTAAATGTACATGCAGCACTTTGGAAAAATAGCAGATAGTTTACATAACATACGGTATGACGGGCTGGGCTGTTGGCTGAATCTGCCCTTGACTTGCTGGTGGATGTATTTGGAGGTCATGCAGAAGTTATGAAGGCTAGATTTGATCTGCAGGAGGATAAATATGCTGTGCCTCCTTTTCCCATCTTTTAAAAATGTACCTTTATATGCTTATTCACACTAAAGCTGGTTAGGAGGGGTTAATATCAGCAAGATCTTCCGCTGTTAATGCAGGTTCAGGGCTATAAGGAAGCACATTTATACCATACCAGTACATATCACTTTACCTTAAAATGCAATTGTATATGTACAGGCAAATGCTTCTTATTCCTGGATTGTAGCTATGCAAGTGCAGAGCTCCTTTTGAGCTCTATATTGGCACTTTTCTCTTAATGTCACTCTGCTTTTTGGGACCTTGATAGGATCTTCAGGCAAGAGGATCAGAATAACAAAGGCAGAGGTAAGTTTTGTTATTTATTTATTTAAAATACGTATATGCCACCTTTCTCCTAAAGGATCCAAGGCAGTTTACAGTATTAAAAGAAAAGAATTTAAAAACCAATAATAAATCATTACAGTAGTTAAAAAGCATTAAGCAAATATCATATTAAAACTATAATAAGAGCAAGATTTAAAACACAAGTAAAATACACAATAAAACGATCCCTTAAAAAATCCCCTTGATGCGCCAGTCATTTAAAGGAAAGCTTGCCTGAAGAGGAAGCCTGGCCTCACATGAGAAGGAGTTCAAAAGTCTGGGAGCAGCAACAGAGAAGAGCCTCTCCTGCATCCCCACCAAACCACACCTGTGATGGTGTTGGGATTGAAAGAAAAGCCTTTCCTGATGATCTTAATACCTGATTAGGCCCATAAAGGGACATACAGTCTTTTAGATAGCTTGGACCCACACCATTCAGGGTTTTATAGGTTAAAACCAACATTTTGAATTGTGCCCGGAAACAGTTTGGCAGCCAGTGGAGCTGTTGTGATAGGAGAGTTACATGTTCCCTCTAACCAGTCCTAGTCAACAGTCAGGTTGTATTTGGGACTTGCTGGAGTTTCGGAAAACTTTCCAAAGGCATTCCCATGTAAAGGGTGCTACAGTAATCCAAGACAGCTGTAACTAAGTTATGTGTCACTATGGCCAAATCAGACTTCTCAAGAAATGGGCATGGATGGCGCATCAATTTTAACTGTGAAAAGGTACTTCTGACCACCTCCAAGACCTGGGCAGCCAGGCTCAGAGACAAACCCAGGAGCAACGCTAAGCTGTGCAACTGTATTTTCTGAGGAAGTGTAACCCCTTTCGGCACAAACTGAATCCCTATTCCTTGATCTGCCTTTCAGCTGACCCAGGACTATCTTTGTCTTGCTGACGCACGTATCAGTGTATTTGCCCTCATCCAGTCCATTACTAACACCAGACACTGATCTAGAACTGAAACATCTTCCTTGGATTTAGATGGAAAAGAAAGATAGAATTGGATGCCATCTGCATACTGGTGACACCAAACTAAAACTCCCAGCAGTTTCATGTAGATGTTGAATAGCATAGAGGACAAAGCAGTACCCTGGAGGACCCCACAAACCAACAACCAGGGCATTGAACAGGACTCCCCTAGCACCGCCCTCTTGAGTTTTCCCCTCCAGGAAGGACTAAGTCCCATCCAAGAGAAATGGCCCAGAAGGATACCATGATCAATGGTATTGAAAGCCACTGAGAGGTCCAGCAGAACCAACAGAGACACACTCCCTCCTCCGTCCAGTTCCCAGCATAAGTCATCCACCAAGGCAACCTGGAAATTGATCTAGATAATCCATTTTTTTCCAGGAATCCCTTGAGCTGAGGAGCCACAATGTGCTCTAACACTTTGCCTAAGAATGGAACATTAGGGATTGGGTAGTAATTATTCAATACTGTGGGATCCAAAGACAGTTTGTTTTCAGCAGTGGTCTTTCTGCTGTCTCCTTCAAGCATTCTGGGATACTGCCCTGCTGCAAGGAGGCATTCACCGCTTCTCATCCCCTCTTGGGCAGTCCCTTACTGGTAGCTTTTATAAACCAGGAAGGGCAAGGGGTCCAGTAGACATATGGTAGCCTTCACCTCTCCAAGAATCCTGTCCACATCACCAGTCTCAAAAACTGAAACTTGCCTATTAACATAGGACAGGCAGGAGCCATAGTTAGATCCACATAACCTGTATCAACTACAGCATCCCAAGTCAGAACGGATCTAAGTGATTTTGCCTGCAAAGTGTCATGGGATTTTTTTCACAGCAAACGACAGTTTGGTCGACATTCTCTTCGTGCAGACCAGCATGTAATAGGCCCTTGAGTACATGAAAGGATTTTGCCAGATGACACTGTGCAGATGCAATGGTGGCAGAAAAGGATGACTTTGTTGTCACGACTTCCATGGAAGAGACCTTTCTAGCCATGTTTGGTCAGATTGTTTCTGAGTTTTCTGCCGTCAACTGCTCTAGTCTCCATCCCACTCGTTTCACCACTAGCTCCTAAGTAAAGCAGTGATTGTGTCAACAGCCCTGGCCATTTCCCCACTCCGGAGGTCAACCATCGTTTCAACAGAATTGCCTGTCAAGGAGACAGGAAGCTCCCCAAGAGCCTGCAGGAAACCATTTGGATCCATCAGCCTTCTGGGGCGAACCATCTCAATTGTTAGCAATGGTTAATTGAACAGAATATTGAACTTGGGCCCATAGAGTTGTAGGTTAAAAACAAAGTGATTTCTATTGGCCCTAGGATTTAGTCAGTGCACTGAGCTGCAGAAATAACACCTATATGCCTTCCTTTGATTCAAGTGTCCCTAACATGATCTGGTTTTTAAAAGTTGTGCTGTAGTGTTGCCATTTCACATAGGTTGCAGGGTTTGCCTGAATCTATGTCTTGCTGCCACCAGAGGCCACTGTGACACTTGTTAAACTGGCAGCCAGTAAGTCTTGCTGTGGTTTTCAATGAGAAGCAAAGATCTTTGTTCATGTCAGCAGGAATCCAGGGGTTCTTCCAGAGTGGAAGGGTTAGCCAGCAGCACTGTCACTGCCCAGGGATGACTGAATGTGTTCACAATCCTCATATTCTTCCAGGAGGTGCTTTCTGTGTTCCTCAGCAAAGGTAACAAGAACAGGAGAAGGTAAAATCAGTTCTGTCATAGCAGTAGGGGGGAAAAAAAGACTAATCACAGCAGCACAAACTTGTGGTTGTAAATAGAATGGTTCCATCGATTACTGTACAGTATTTATTCTAGGCAACAAAGCATTGTAGCTCTATCAGGAACATGCAATGCTGATAGACTGTTCTCCATCTAGCCCAGTATTGTTGACTCTGATCAGCAGCACCTTTCCAAAGTTTCAGGAAAGACCTTCCTCGGTGCTTTTAAATTGCCAGAGATAGAACCTTGGATTTTCTGGAAGGCCAAGCATGCCCTACTACTGAGTTACAGCATATCAATGCTTCCATTGGAAGCTTTAGGATGAACATGATATACTGTGAACTAGGAATCAAGATTGCAGTGAATTCCATGAGTGGGGGCAACAAATTTGGGATGGAATGGAAGTGGGGTACCTGTAACCCACCATATATGCAATATTAGTTCCTGTCATCACATGACCAATAACAATGATGGCAATTCTCCAACATGTGGACAGTCATGAGTTTCCAGTCTTTCATTGGGCTGTATAACAGAAGAGATTATGGAAGTCATTTCAAAATCCATATGTTTTAAAGAAAAAAAATGTGAGGAAGTTTAAAGCAACTGTGTCAAACCCAAATTTGAT